CCTAAGGTATGTAGATGTTCACAAAAGTTCCCCCCAGATTATCAAAAGAATTGCCAGCACTTTCATTTCTGAATTTTGAACAACTTGTACTAATATTTGTAGGCAATAAATGATTTTTTAATGTTGCTTATTTCTTAATGATGTTTATTGGATTTCATAATCTTTCATTCCAGGAATTAAAGCAAATTCATGCAGAGGCAGGAGCAACTAGTGTCAGTGGGATGATTCAGTTGTTCTTTAGATGAAGCTTGGTTTGTCAGAAACAAACCTTTATTTTAAAAAGTTGCTTCTGCAGCTAAGAAAGAAATAGAAAGATCTAGCTCTGTCCTGAAAGAAACATCTTTGCAAAGATACTGAGTGGGGGACAGGGGTGGGAATCAAGCTACTTACTTTTTTTGTGTGCTATGAATATATAGAAAGAATTAAAGCCTTTTAATTAAATTAATGCTTTTTTTCCAGCATGGCATTTCTGATAAACTAAAAATTTTCTTAGGTTAATTTCTTAAATTTAATTTACTAGGTTCTTAAATAATAAAATTGATTTAAGTCAGGGGAAAAATAATTAGGATTTTTTCAGTGCTGTACCAAAGTATATAAAACTTATCAGATGCACTGAAGTTTCTTTCTTTGATAGATAAGCTTTTTTCCCTAGTAGATTATAGGGATGGATTTTACAGAATAAAATATTTTAAAGTAGATAAAAACTAGCTTCTTCCTATGAAACCTCCATCTATTTGGGACAAATACACAGCACTCACCCCCCACCCATGTTTGAGTGCATCTAAATGCGATGCTAGCTAGAAAAATAATCAAACTCTTAAAAAAGTGTATCAGGACACTTGCTTGGATATAGGCAAAGGTATTAAACTGGATAGGTGACCAAGGAACAAGGGGGTTTCTTGTTGCTTGGAAGGGAAATAGGGTCTTTTGCAAAATACTGTAACAGCCAGCAATCGGGATGCAGAAATTGCATCTGGCTTCTCCAGACTCCAAACTCATTCTCCTCAGAAAGCAGAGAACCGGGGCTGGTCCCCAGTTGTCCACCTGTCCTATTTTCAGTGCATTTTTTATCATTTTAATTAAAATATCAACCCATATATTGCACACAATGCTGTTTTATTATTAAATAGACAGTAATAATAAAGAAGCAAAATAATTTTCTCTTTTGTTTGTGCAGAGGTCCAAGGTGTGTAGCACGATTTGAATACATTGGAGATCAGAAAGATGAGCTCAGTTTTTCAGAAGGTGAAACTATTATCCTGAAAGAATATGTAAATGAAGAGTGGGCCAAAGGAGAGCTCAGAGGCATGTCTGGAATTTTCCCCTTGAACTTTGTGGAAGTTATTGAAGACCTACCTGGAACAGGTATGAATATGTTTGCAAAAAATCTTCCAGAGCATGGGCTTGTACTTAAAGCAAATAGGCAGCATATAGGAAAAAATTCCAAAAGGACAGTGATTTCAGAGAGGAGGTAAAAAGAGAGGGAAGACTGATTAAAAAACCCTCAAAATTAACAGTAGGACTACTTAAGAAGCCATTCTTAATAATGACTTCAGATATGTAAAATCTCTGTCATTAGTAACATTCTGAATAGACACTGCTCCTGTTCTTAAGCTGTGCTTTACTTACGTAGGTACAGAAACAGCACTGAAGAATAAGGTGGAGGTTTCATCTTCCCTTCCTCAGGTAATAAAACTTTATAGGTGAGGATTAGAATTTATGTACAGATTTACAGAGACTCTATTATAATGTGAGAGTAACTGCAGAATGTGACACCACTTCCACACCACTTCAATGCTATATTGTCACAGCCTCAATTCTGACATGTGGTCTAAGCTGATAGAATTCAGAACTTACGACAAATTAACATTGGTAAATTTTTATCCTTTGTGCTGAAGGAAGTTCTTCTTAGTTCTATTTTAATTATTGCTGAAGTGATCTAATTTTGAATTTATTAATCCTTTCCCCTGCCACCAGAGATAAAAAGGAATGTGGCTGAGTCTAGATTAAATTCTGTGGTGGCAATTGCTGAAATGCCATTCTAGTCTACATCTGCAGCAGCACTGTTGTATTGGGAGGGTGTCAGGACAGCCATGTGCTGAACAGCTGCTATCAGCAGCATCCATCAGTTTTTGGGCTCCATTCACACTTCTAAAATTAATGCATCTGTTCTGTTAACTTGGATAGAACAACAGACGCTCACTAGAGTGGTGTGAAGCACTTCATGATTTTACAGCAGAAACCAAAGAAGATCTATCCTTCAAAAAGGGAGACTACATCCAAATACTGGAACAAGTAGATTTGGAGTGGTATAGAGGAAGACTGAATGGAAAGGAAGGGATTTTCCCAGCAGTTTTTGTTCAGACCTGCTCAGGTATGGTGCTCCCATTAGATGGCAATTTATTATTCCTTGGGTTGTGCCAGTCATGACAGCTGTGGGAGAACACGACATCAACTGCATGAACAACTCACACACCACCAGAGTCTTCAGTATTCTAAAGCTAAACTTAAATTTTGAACCAACTTCTCTAATAATAGCAGTATTATGTTCTAGTCAGTAAGTAATCTGTGAGGTTACACAGACTATGGAATGTTTTTCAGTGTGGTTTGGGTACAGGCAAAACAGGGCCATTGAGCCACCTTTAAGGAATAATTCAGGAGTATTGATGCTGCTTCATCTTAGAGCAGAAAGAGGGAAAGTCAGCATTTATTATGTGTCACTGTTGGGAAGTTCAAGTTAAGTGAGTTTTTAATTTAGTCTGCTTAGAAGCAGAACTGTGAGACTGTTTAATGCTAAAAAATGAACTGGTGGCAGTAGTATTTTTATTCCAGCAGGACAGTGAATTTGGTACAGCAGTAGCAATAACATTTGGACAACCTGTAGCACAATAGCAGGGAGAAAACATGACAATGACAGAAAACTTCTCCAGAAACAGAGATTCATTTCATTCCCGTGGAACTAACTTCTCTTGTCCATGTTCTGTAGCTAGAGTAGAGCTGTCACAGCCTGGAGGAGGGAAGAAAGGAAAAGCCAAAGCTCTTTATGACTTCCATGGAGAAAATGAAGATGAGCTTTCCTTCAAAGTAAGTACCTCTCTTAGACCAACTTTCAAGAGGTCTCATGCTCCTAAGGAGTGCTAAAAAATAAGGTTCATCCCCTGCGAATGTAGGCTTTAGACAAGAAGGATGAAGCTCATAGATATTAACACGTTTGGTAAGTGGTCTCTCTTCCCTTATCAGTCCTATTACCTATCAGCAAACTTCTTCATTAAAGACATTGCAAAGAGCTCAGGAGTTGCAGACTTCGCTGATCTAATTAATGTGACAAGATAAACCTTATTTTGCAGTACATTCAGTTCCTGGTTGGTTGATATGGTCAAGGGAGCCTCTCTTTGGACTAGAAAGAAAACTCTTGAGTAGGAGGTGATGGTGAGAGTGCCAATACTACAGCAGCCAGGCCTCTAAGGGAAACCTAGTACAGCAGCATCTTGAACTGGCAACACAATCCAGAGTTGCCATGGGAACAAGGGAAAAATTAAATACATGCTGGATGCCCAGATTGTATTAAGCATGAACAAGAAACAGTGTCCTTGATGTTCAAAGTCATGTAACCATGTTCTCAAAAGCAAATTTCTGAGAAACAGTAGACTTTAATAGGAGCTGAAACAGACAGTATTTTTTCTTCTAAAACTAGCAAAATAGTTTCAGCATTAGCAGCTTGCAATACTGAAAGGATAGATGATTCTTTAAAGCGAAAAAGAGAAATAGAGGTACTGAAAGAAAGGCCAGTACTTCAGATGAAGGGTGTGGCATGGGACAGTGAGAACAAGAACCAGGACCAAACACAGGACCTGCAATTTAAATGGCCATACTGAGCTTTTAGATTGCTTTTCTTCTTTTTAGGAAAGTTTCCAAGTGCTAGAAAATACTGGGACTAAATTAAAAAAAAAAAAAATCTTTCCAGTGTTACAAGAAAATAAACCCTGGAAACACACACAAATAAGCACTAAAGCAGGGGGCCCATGAGCCAGCTCTTAACATACCTGGAGAGGCAAAGGTATGTGAGAAGATATCCAGCAGTGCTCTTCTGTCCTTCCAAAGATGATTTTTTCAGCAGAGACAAGTATTTAGCCTAAGAGAAGCTTCAGATGGTTTGGCAAACTACCTCCAAGAGATGAAATGAACAGAAGAGACTGACGACATCTTACTCCTCTTCTCTTTGATTGATATTGTTTCTAAATAGGATCAGCTCAGCATGCATTAACATTGCTCAGTAAGATTGCACAGTAAGCTGTACTGACTCACATTACTCCTTCTCTTACAGGCAGGTGATATGATAACAGAGCTGGAACCTGTAGACGAGGACTGGATGAGTGGAGAGATATTAGGAAAGTCTGGGATATTTCCCAAGAACTTTGTTCAGATTTTAAAAACACCATGAAGTGTCGCCTTTCTACTACTCCCTGCATGTGGGAGAGAATGTTTTTTTACCCTAAAGGCACAGCAAAGACATCAACGAGTGTTGATTATCAATGTTTTGCACTACTTTTTCTAGACAGTCATAGTAGTATCTTGAAGTCGGATAAGATTTGAGTCTGTTGTGACAGTGTATGTAATCATATTTCATGAATGCTCAGAGAGCAAAACAAGCAGGCTTTTTAGCCATTTCCAACTAGGGAAATACTGTGGTGCAACACCATTTTAACTTATATAGCATTCTAGTATGTTTACTCTCTGGTATTATATTTATCATGCACAAAGTCTGCATAACATAAGCTGCTTTGGCCTTCTTTGAACTTCTTAAGATCCAAACTTTAAAATTTGTTTTAATATATAATTACAGCACTCAGTATGTAGATGAAGTTTGATATTCAGGTTTCATTACTGCTTGAGTTCCACATTAGCAGTAGAATCCACTTGTTTTATGATTTAGAGGATAAGAAAAATAACTGGTATTTCATAGTAGAAAGGTATCAATCTACTACTCGTAAGAGGGGAAATGGAGAAATAAATCCTTGTGTAGTATCCTTCTATTCTTAGCCCAAGCTGATCATACAGCAAGATCACAAAAGTAAAATCTGTGAGTATTTTGCCTCTTAATGAATTCTGTTTAAATTGGTATGAATCATCTTAGGCCTTCCTCGCTTTCCCCAAAATACTTTGTAAGTACAGGTTTAGTTTCTTCCTACTGCCCATTGTTCTTTGAGCACCATCATACCCTTCTCTCCTAGCTGACGTTAGCAACAGACTGTTTATTGAGCTTTCTCAGACCCAGCCATGGAGGAGTTGCACTATTCCAACTATTTGCCCCTCCACTCCCCTCATGGGAGTGGAAAGCCAGTGTTCACCCAGTCTGCATTTTATTTGTCACTCAAGTACTGGAACATACTTCAGTAACACTATTCCTGTCCTTAACATGAAGGATATTATACAGCCTTGGGTTTAGTTTTCAGCAGACGTGGGATTAGTTTCCAGTTTGTTGCCACATACCAGATACACTGAGCATCCTTATAAATGGCCTGTTGAGGCCTTGAGGAAAACATGCCTGGCAAGAGCTTACTCCAAACAGCTCTAGCCAAGGCGTGTGGTAAAAAGCAGTGTAGCTTGACTGACCAGCTAAGATGGATGTGATTGAGGTAGCTTCACATTATAGGAACTTCTGGTAGTCAATTCCTTTTTGGAACAGCAAGGAATGGGCATCTAGTCCCAGTGGCAGACTGGAGCTCACCTGCAGCAAGCCTGAGGGACCTGCAGTGCAGACGTGAGGGCCTCAGCACCATTCACCCAGCAGTCACTGCCAGGCCACGGAATCTGCACAGACACAGCCCCCACTTTGTGTTCTGCTGTGTCTGAACTACACACCAGTACCCTTCACACAGCCAGGGGATGGAGACCACACAAAGTTCTAATGAGCTGAGGAACTGGACTTTCCATTAGGGATTAACATGATAAACAAAATGCTGAAGTACGTGCTGTTCTAGAAGGTTGGAAATGCAATAGATACAGCTGTTACTCACTTTTAGCAGCCCCAGCAAGCCTGTCCAGAACTCCTGTGGAATCATGTGGAAGTCCACAACCAAGGACAATCCTTCCCGTTCCCCCAAGTTTTCCTGTTTGGAGATTCTAAGGTTCTTGTTTATTCCAAAAAAAACAGTAGTCTCCTAAAGAAATCCAAGGAATAGCCAGATCCTTCAAAGACATACCACACCAGTGTGGTGGTAGATGAGGCTGAAGTGTGTGATGTTTACTTACTGTTTGTCTGGCAGTTTTCTAATGTTTTGATACAATTCTCAAAAGTAGAACCGATTTTTTAGTATTTTTTTTCAACTTCCTCTTTTCCATTTTTATAACTGTCTTGACCACTTGTTTTTGTAACTTCACTGAATGTTTAAAGTCAGTGCCTGTTCATTGACAAGACCACTCTGCTGTATGTAATCTCCTCCTCCCTGTGGGGCAGGGCAGGAGTAGCAGCAAGGCCTTTTACTCAGAGCACCGAGTGCCATCTAAGGGCTGCTCGCATGGCTGCAGGCAGCTGACACGGCGTCTGTGTCAACGCTGAAGCAAGGGAGATGCTCGGCTTTTACGGGGCAGGATTTTCCTGAAACGATGCCCAGATGCCCAACACCACCACTGTAAGAGCGTACACAGATCGCATGAAATTCCTAAGGGGTACAAAAAAGCCGAGAATGAGGTGGAGTGCAAATCTTAACTGCAATGTAGTAGCAAATTCCAGCGGTAACCTTGAAATCCAGCTAGATCTCCATGCATTAGAATAAAAGCCTCACTTACCAAAACATTTTGTTTGACCCATCCTCTAGAAATATCTTCAGGAAGATATCTTTGTTCTGTGTACAATGAACAGTATCCTAAATAAACCTTTGTTAAGTCCAGTAAGTTTGTTATGGTACCTCTGTAAATTAAGAATGTATTTAATCAATAAAATTTTTGTAATTAAGTTATGATGGCATTTTAATTGTTTTATGCTGTGAAAAGCTGAGCTTTCCACTTGACAGTGTGAGATCTCATTCTGTAAAGTAACTCCCCACCCCCAGACAAGTAATCCAAACCCCTTAGAGAATGTGGATGATTTTAACAAATTATTCAAGCCTTCACACTTGGGTGTGCCTCACGCTCACTACCTACAGAAGCTACTGCGTTTTGCTACCTGCAGCAAGCAGCTGTCACCACAGGGCATCACATGCTGTGGCTCTTGCTGTGGCTCAGTGACAACGTCGTGAGGAAGACACAGGCTGATCCTGCACATAATTTAGGTGTGCTCTGCTGAGTGCTGCTTTCATGCTCCATGATTTTTCAGCTGGTATTTGATGACAGAATAGAGAGCATGATGCACAGTATTTTCCTTCCTGCTTTTCCCCCACCTGAAATCACATTACAAAGCCTACGTTTTCCCAGAACACCTATGTGGCAACGCACTGTTCCAAACAATACATTTAAAAGCCTGAAAAAATCCCAAGTTCTTGTTCTCTCCCCCTCTCCTCTTGGACTGACTTTTTGGCAACATACAGTCCTCAGATATGCAAGTAACAAAAGCTACAGCTTCAAAAATGTGTCTGGGATTCCTGGAGGCAGGTGACACCTGCCTCAGTAGTGCAGATGGAAAGAGCAAAGCAACACGATTTCCTCCCCGTTCCGAGGCTCTGAGTGTGGAGCACTCACTACTCTTCCTTCCAGTACGCAAAGTGGAAAAACCAGAACATACTGAAACCATAACCTGGAATCGCAAGACAAAATCACATCACCTGCAGCATTCTGAAGTAAGTTCAAAAGCATTCTTCTCATTTTGCCTATTACTTGGTCCAAACCAGCATTATCAACCAGGAAAATGTGAAAATCCCTGACAGGGAACAGTACAGCTGCCATGGGTAGCAGGGCCCTTCTCCTTTTCTCCAGTAGCTTTGTTGGAACAGTAACATTTTCACTCTTTTCCTTTATTTCATGTCTGTGACAACCAACTGCCAGAGCCACCACGCTCTGAATTCTGCATTTTGCTCTCAGTTTTATATCACTAACCAGCAATTTAATAGGACTAAGTTTAGATTTGTTGGCCTTAACAAAACACATTGATAGTGCACAAAACTCATTTTAGCCAGAAAAAACACTCATTTATAAGCCAACATAAGTAGAACAAGAAGCAAAAAGCTGTTAGAGAATGAAAAACAATCTTAATATTACTCAGCAAAACATTTAAGTGCTTTGTTTTCAGAATACACACCATTGCCTCTTTACAGATTTTTTTCCCCCTGAAGTTCTACAAGTTTTCCATTAGTCATCCTTCAGTTCTGACAGGTTAAAATCCAACACCCAACTCCAGGGCTCGAGCTCATTTTGGATTTCTGCAATGCCCAAAAATTAATACTGCTTCCATCATCATAATTACAACTTTAGCACCTTCAAACACCTTCTGTTCACCAGAGACCACACCTATCCCATGAGAGGTTGCATTAAATGACCAAGAAATTTAAACATACATTATTCTGAAGCAAGTCATCTGGGTAAAACTAAGACTACCCAATAGTACCAAATTCTGACACAGTTTTCCCTGTGCAATTTCTGCCTTCCCTGTACTCTGTGAAGCATCTCTCACCAATACAATCTCTGCACACATACACGAGGTTTTTTTGGTGAGGACTAAAATTACTGGGTAAAACCAATGTAGAGAATCCACAGAAAGGACAACCCACCTTTTTGCACCCATTTCCACAACACAATTGGAGAAGTACATGTGTACTTCTTTTATTTAATTTTTCTTAAGCCAAGGCCGTAGGTTTTACCTTACTGAAAACTCATCCACATGTCCAGTAGCAATACAGGCAACCAAGGATTAGTTCTGTATATTAAAACCTTTTATTTTCCACCCATTTTTAGTTTCACACAGACTCTTGCACGGGCGGTTCATATCCATCAGCTCGCTCTACCTTGGTGCCTGCCTCATCCCCAGAGGGCTTTCCAGCACCACCACCTTCACCATGCAGCTCCATCAGCTTGCCCACTAAAAAGAAGCAGAGACAGAAAAAGTGAGAGATGGACCTATCTGAACAGTTTTAAATTATTCAATTACTCATTACACAGAAATGAAACCACCAGGTTTTCTGTAGGTAGGACTAATTCCATTGCAGACAGCTCATGCACTGAGATGCCGCTATAGTGACACTCAAACAGAAACAAGCAGTGAAATAAGGCTACATAACACAGCTACAAATGACACTTCTCCTAAAAGGAGCTGGACTCACGAACCTACTGCTGCTTTACACAGGAATGTCAGAAATTGGTGAAATGGAATCATTCCACATCATCTGGGACCGAAACATTTTGTCATCATTCATTCCCAAAGCAAAGCTTTTAAACATTCACCAGCAGTTCCAGGTGAGAATTCAAGCTCCAAACTGGACACTCACTGCTTGGCTTTCAATCCTAGAAGCCACGCATCAGGACAAGGAAACACTTTCCCTTCTACAAGTACTGAAGCTCATTGATGCTGCTGTAACATCTTTATCCACAAGCAAACACATTTAAAGTCCTTCCTTTCCACACCCTCCTCCAAACATCTACAGGAACAGACTTACATTCAAACTTGGGCTTCTTGAGCATCTTCACCTTGCGGACATAGACATCGTGCAGAGGGTAAATGGACTGGCAGGCCTTCTCGATGTCCTTGCCAATGCTGTCTGGGATCCTGAGAAATCACAGAGCACAACTGCTAAAAACTCCACCTGCTTCTGTAGCAGCAACACAGGCTTAAAAAACATCCTTAAAGAATACAAAACATTCTACAAAAGTTTACACCATCACATTGACAATTTTCTTCAAGTACATTTAGGTTCTAAGACATCTCCCTTTCAATGTTAGAAGGGACATAATGCATGCACGTGTGCTCACTTTGAGAGCAAATCTGCAAACGTTTGGAAGCAATGAGCCCACTTTGAGAAACTCTTCTATCAGAAAAGCTCAGAGCATTCACAGCCCCCATGGATGAGAATTACAACTTTAGTCTGTAGAAATGTGAACCACCAATCTTCTGGAGAGTGATTTTACATTTATGCAAACGTGACAGTGGATTCAGGTCAGAAGGGATGCAGACACTAAGAGGAGCCAATTGCAGAGAAGGACAATTGGCTTTTCCACACCAGGGACTCCTTGCCTGGTCTCTGGCAAACAGCTTGGGATGCACCAGCACTCCTCAGGCACTCAGCACAAATCAACCCCAAACAAGGATTTAAACTGTAGGGGACAAAAAAAGAACACAGCCAAAGCTTACAGCTTATTGACAACTTCCTTCAGGTCATTGGTCTGCACCTCTCGGGTCATGATCTCCATCATTTTCTTGCGGATCTGCCGGACCTGCTGGTGCTGGGCATAGGAGGTCTTGCGGATTTGGTTATTGCGCTTCTTGGTGAAGCCCACGCAGAAGAGGCGCAGCAGGTACCCGTCTGTGGTTTTGACATCCACGTGGGCTTCAATCATTGTCTGCAAGAGGGAGCAGGACCATCACCACCCACGCAGCACGGGCTGCCCAGCCCCACACACCCCACGCTGTCCGATGCCGCTTCAAACGCAGCTTTGCCAGGCACCAGCGCTCCCTCCCTCCCTGAGGCACCGGCAGCGACCACACCTTGTTTCTTACACACCTGCCATTTTTTGACCATGGAGCACATTTTGTCCCGTGTGAGGTCCATCCCATGGAAGTTGGTCAGACAATTTTTGCCCTGAACGTCCTCAGTGATCAGTTTAAATTTGCGGAAGGCAACCTCATCATTCTGCAGATCAGCCAGGCTCACTTCAAACACGCGGCCCTTCAGCCCGTCAGAGGCAATTTCTGGGAGATGGAACAGAATAAAACACCTTAGATTAACATTAGAAGCACATTCTTCAAATCAGATACTGAATTCCCGCTGGAATCCTCTTCTCTGATATTTTCTAATGGTGATCACAGAGCCAGCAAGGTTGGAAATTTCTCCCTTTGGGAGGAATCTTTCAAGGCAGTATTATCAGGTGTGGGATACGGACAGCAGCACACACCAGTTCCATGTGTAATAATTTGGTTTGTTTCAAGCATAAATGGGTTACAGAGTATTTGGAAATTATCAACAGTCATGAGAAAACTAAACATAAAAAGCCACAAGTGCTCAGCAGAGATGAAGTAGGAATGAACAGCCCAGTACAATCATTTCACCGCTCCTCCTCCAACGAGGAGCCATTTTAACAACACTGGCTGGTTTGGCAGCAACCCTCATTTTATTTGTTTCAGATGTTACAGTTCAAAGCAACAATCATCATCCCAACTTTGAGTGCAGCCAGCAGAGTATCATAAGGCTGTTTAGCCATTCTCCATGGCTAAACTTCCAAACACATGGTCACCTCTATCCAGACACCTCTGCATTGCTAACAGAAGTCTCTCTTCCTAAGATGTGCCACACGAATTTACCCTCCTGTGATACATCAGTGCTCCCATTAAGTCAGCAATTCTGGCTCTAATCTTTACTCAAAAGCTTTACATTTCATCTATTTCAGTGTCTTCATGTGTTGGTCGTTATGGTACTACTAGGACTAAGGTCTCCTGTGGCACCGTCCCACATCTCCCCCCGTGACAATCAGTACTACTGCTTACTTCCTGAACCTTTCCCGACTTGCCAGGTTACAAGGGAAACTCATTAGAAACTTCAGGCCCTTTCTTCCATGGTTTGGCATTGCTGTACAAACAAGAGTCCAGTGTACGAACTTCCTGCAGCTAATCTCATTTATTCAAACAGCTCAGTCAACTCAAAAAAAATCCACTCAAATCACCCAACTTTTTAAGCTTCCAAGCTCGTAATAGTAGAAGCATTTTTCATTTTTCAGCAGTCTTTTATACAGAGAGTTCTTTAAGCGCTTGGAGCTAGCATGCGGAGCAATCACAATCCCCGGTACTGCCCCAAGCCCAAGCACTCACTAGTTCCTTGA